GGGTGGGGGGCATTGCACGGTGGCTTCGCCGTGCCCTTGCTCTGGGGGTGGCCTCTGCAGCTTCCAGGGTTATGCAAGCCCTTTATGAGCCCGCAGCCTCATCGGCAGGGGCGGCCCCCCCGTAAAAATGCCTGCATATTGAAATCGCCGAAATCCTTACCGGAGGTGTAATTGCAGAGGTGACACCGACGGGCACTCCAGCGCTCTGCTCCGAGCCTGCAACTCATCCCTTCCTCCTTCTGCTGCAGGTATGGGCCACCCTCCACTGGAGTCCCACTTGGCCGCAGCCAGCGCTGCGCACCCGAGGACCAAGCGATGTTCCTGCAACAGCTGGCTGGATAAGGAATGCATTTACTTCTGTCACCTGGATATCATCTGGGTCAACACACCTGGGTAAGCATGAAGGTAGCTTTCTGACGGGGTGGCTCTGCTGATGAGTAAACGGCTGTACTTTCTGATCGAGGATGGGGTTAGGTTAGAGGAAGGTGAGAAAGGGTCCCGGTGCTGTGAGGCTCTTGTAGCACCTGCTCCAGAGAGCATTGCAAGTCCAGTCCTTTCCAACATCTAGAAAGGGACAAGCTGTGCTTCCGCTCAGGAGTTTCAGTATAAGCCACAGGGGAGGGGGGTGAAAGCACAGGGCGCTGCCTCCTCATGGGTTCATCTTTTTCTGAGATTTGTGCCTCTGCAAGCCAAAAGCAACACCAAGATGTTATAGCTGCAAGTCAGAAAGTTACTCTACCCGCTTGCGAACTGTAACCCTGACTGCTGGCTGCCAGTATTGGTAATGAGACAGTGGTGGGCTGGCACTAAAGTCCCGTGGCTGCCAAGTCCTGCCCTCAAGAACGCTAAAGCAGCTTTCTGAGCAGTTTCGGACCAATGGCCATCACACTGTAGCAAAACAGATGTACTCAGGTGTGGTTATAATCATGCTTGCTAACATGCAATTACAACTCACTGCTTGCTCAGAGAATAGTTGCAGTCACTGCCAATCCTAAACCCTCTGGGAGAGTAGATTGCGATCAAAGATGGAGCGGGAATGTGCTAACAGCTCTGAAAGCGTGCTGTGATCAGAAGAACCTGTTATGGCCCCAAGACATCTTGATTTGTCCTATGTCCTGTGTGTTAAAACCCATGAGGTGAGGGAAAGCCCTGACACCTCTGTGCTTGAGAAACTGGCTGCTTGCTGCTGATGGGGCTGGTGGACCGGGGCAGCCACGCTCCCCTGTGCGCTTTGCCACCCAGGTGAACTGCCAGCTTGCCCAGCCCATGTGGCGACCCTTGCACGGGCACCTGGGCTGCTGCAAGGAGAGAAAATTCCACTTGCAATCCAGCACATACTGGCACGGCAATCTCCCTGGGAGGGGTAGGGTGGGGAAAACAGTAGGTGGGAGAGGAGCTGGAGTTTAAAGGCTTAGACATATCAGTGACCTTTTCACCTTATGTCTATAGATGAGGCTTTTATTATCCTGGCGCTGGCTTGGCTGCCTCCCAGGACTGTGTTATAAACCTGTTGGCTAATAAAAAGTTAGTTGCATAGCTGATTTCTTTTGTTTTTAAGACACACCGCTCCCTACGGCTTGGGAAGTCCGCCAAGGCGGCGCAAGAGATCGCTCAGCAGGTGCGAGTGCTCGCACTCGAGGGACAACATCTGTGCCACCTTCTGCCAGGTGAAGCCTGGGTAAGTCAAGGGGGTCCTGGGGATGTCCCTGGGGGCTGCTCGGCGAGGGTGCAAGCAGACAGACAAAGCTTAGGAGCTGGAGTAACTCTACAGCCTCCCCGGGGATGGCTGCACAGCTCTTCGCAAAGAGCTGGAACTTGTCTAGTGGCTTTCCCTCCCAAGAGGCCCTGGCAAAGTGTCACTAGGGTATTTTTGTTGTACAATAGTGTCTTTACTAGCTGATATGAAGCAATGTTACCTCCATCCCTCCTGCTGCCAGGAGGCTGAGGAAGTGCTGGGTGCTCTGGTGGGGGGGGGGAGCTGGCAGCACAGAGAGGGACAAGCATAGGGTGTGAAGCTTTGGGACACCAGTGTCTCCTGCATGGCTCAGGTGGGAAAGGCTGCAGGAGAGTAGGACTGCTGAGAGCTGGGACTCAGAAGTCTAATATCTTCTATACCCGGCTCTTATAAAGTGCACGTGGGCTCTCAGTTGTCTCGCTTCAGCCAGCGGTATAGGAGTGCTTACGCTGTGAGATGGGGAGCACAGTCACTGTAGAGATTTGTCATTAATTTCATATCAAGGCAATAGTTAAAATCCCTAATGATTAAATATGAGTGTGGATAAAGCGAGGATAGAAGAGGATAGCAGTAAAAGTGAGCTATAAATAGCTCTCAAATAGCTGCAATTAACCCTTCAAAAGCATGCATTCAGCTGTCTTCATCTGTCACTGGTGACGTTAGAGCAACACTCCCCCCGGTACTCACCATAGCACGGCTGGATATGACTGCTTCATGCATCTCCTCTTGCTCATTAGGTACCTCCAGAGTCTGAAGCTCCCCGTGAGCTCTGGAGCATCAATGAAGTCTCCACAGAGCAGTGGTGTGAAGCCTTCCCATCACGGCCTGCTGAGAGCTCTCAGGTGAGCATGCCGCTTAAACCTGCTCTGAACTTCCCTCATCAGCACTTTAAAATCTGCTGTTGTGACCCCAGACTGCAGTTGCCACTTGGATTTGACCTGGCTGCCCCCTCTTGTCTGCCTTTAAATGAGCAGACTTGACTATTTCTGCTCTCTGTAGAATTGACAGCTAACAGCTGAGGGAACCTGGGTTGCTTGTGTCCTTCCAAAACTAGAGGAATATTACACAAAATGTAATTCTTGATTGGAGTGGGAAGCTCCTCTGATATGGGACAGGCAAATGGGTGATGTACAAGACGGGGGAGGGACAGCATCATGTAGGAAAACGATTGCTTGGGCAGCAGCTTTGGACCAGAGGAAATAGCTTTTCTCACATCACATCAGTGAGTTGTGGAACTCACTGCTGGAAGAAACCGTGGACTCCAGGAGTGTAAATGAGTTAAAGGGAATTGGCAAACTGAAGGAGGATTCGTCCATTGGTGGCAGTGAAATCGGATGCAATGGGAACAATTTCTGAAAGGCAGATCTGGGGAAGCATCACTTGGGTCATGCCCTGCTGCAGGACTCCTTGAAGCCTCTGCCACTGGCCACTGGTGGAACGGGGATATTGGGCTAGATGGATCTCCGCTGTGGCTTAATACAGCTGCGGCAAGAAATTCCCCTCTTCCTTCCCCTGTCTTCTGCCTCAAAAAAAACTTGGCGAGGAGCAGATAAATATCATAATACGGGTTGTTGCTGAGTAGTAGGAAAATGGACTGGAGAATGAACGTAGTGTCTCTTCTGTTTA